TATTATTTCTTTTTGGAGGTGAGGGGTGGGAATGGGGACTTGGGAAGGGCAAAGGCGTTTAGCATACTGCGTTTTCTCGCCTGCTTTCAGGTTACTTGTATGGGTATAGGGTAATGTCACTATAACTTGTCAAGATTATCGCCTTTCAGCTGTATATTGCTTCTATATTTTCCGTAGTCCCTCTATTGCACGATAGACTTTTTGTAACATATTTATGTAACAGATAGACTGTGAGCCAAATGAAATGGCTAAGTGGAATGGCTACAACAGATTCATGCATCCAACCCCAACTAGTTTGGGTTTGAGGTGGAATTGATTGGTTTTGTGCGTGTGTATATATTCTGAGCTAACATTCTAGTGAGAGTGTGAGCTGTGGTTTTATTAGCTCTTTTGCTCCACAATTTGGTTGGTACTTTCCATCCGCATACTTGAATTCTGTTATGGCTTACTTTTATATTTATGCGCGTCTTCTTTGTTTTCAGGTTGACCATTTGTTTAAGCATCGCATCACCAGCAGTGTCATACATGCTTCTGATTATCTAAAGCAATTCCCATCGCCTATTATATCTATCGTCGCAAAGTTCATTTCTTTTGTTTCCGGTGGATTTGCTGCTGTTCTTATTATCATTGCATTTCTAGAAGAATCTCTGCTGGAAGGCCATGTAAAAACTTAAACTTCCACAACTAACAAATATTTATTTGCAGAGTTGCTCATTTATGCTATTCGCACTATCTGATACTGCATTTTCTTTTGCTTCAAATGTTGCAGATATTTGGTCGCAACTTATTCTGGTATGCTGCTGTATTTGGAACTATAACAGCTATAAGCAGGGCTGCAATAACAGATGAGCTTCTTGTCCTTGACCCACAGGGAGCGATGTCACTTGTTGTCCAACATACACACTATATGCCAAAGAGATGGCGAGGGAAAGAAAGTACTGGGGCTGTACGAACTGAGTTTGAAACTTTATTTCAGGTGCTTTGCCCTACGAATACTTATAAGCAGATAAATGTGAGAAGGGGCACTTCATTGTAGTAACTCAATGTCTAGATTTAATGATTTCATTAAGAGCATATTATTAGTTTTCTCAAGAAAATCATTTATTTTTTATGAAATAAAGCAAATCGTTACCACAATAAGGTGTTGACTCATTAAACAATCCATTTTAGAGTTAATAACTAAATGTTGCTTCAATAGAGCTTAATCATACACTGTAAATTCAGACTAGGCAGATCATTATCACGATCTATCTTAATTTCACTTTTTGGCGATTTAACCCTTCTAGTTCTTTTCAGTTCCAGGCTTGAGGGTTGGTTGGTTTATATATATTAGATTCGAAGTTTGACTCTTCTGTGTAGTGTTCCATAATTACCTTTTTAAATTATTGTAATTTATCAACAAAAATAAATAAATATAGTAGCTCCAGTAGTAGGCTTTTGATCCCATTTTTTGAAGTCATATTCTTCTCCACAATTTTTGTATCTTTTTAGAGAATTTCGTTGATGTATAACCAGGGTATGCAAGAGTTTGACTGTCGACAGATAGATCGTGTAGTACTTTTTACCGTGTGAGATTGTTATTGACTTCTTATTAACTCATTGCGCAGTATACTGGAATGATGTTACTTGAGGAGATGGCCTCAATTTTTCTTACACCATGTCTATTGCTATTTGTTGTGCCAAAGGTGATCTTCGTTTTTAAGGATAATTTCCTTACCTTACGTATCTTGAGAATCCTTGAGATGATGGTCCCTAATAGTTGGATAATTTTTGTCACAGAGGGTAGATGACATTTTGCATTTCATTGTGGACTTCACTGTTCATGTCGAGGGTGTTGGTCATGTGTGCAGGTTAGTAATTATACCAGCTTACTTGCTTATGCGTTCATATTTTGGTGGCTCCCACTGTTGGAGCATGCACATTTCAATCATTAAGCACTGATATAGTGTCTTTTTCTTCGCAGCTTCAGCGTGTTTGATTTTCAGAATCATGGCAATAGCAAATATGGAGCGCCATATAATTCCGCCCGCTTGCAGAGAAGTTCTCAAGGGAAAATGGAGAAATCATTTCTGAGGTTGGTCTAATGACTACTTGCAGCCTGTTTTAGGATTATTTTTGGATTTAAGACGCTTTTGAATAACATTACATGTCAAACAATTGCAGCTTTCTAAATAGCTACCCTTCCTGGGAACCTGATGATCAAGGAAAACAGTTCCTATCAACGCTCAAAACGTTCAGAGAGCAAAAGCTGCAGGTGCAAGATATAGGACCTGCATATCGACCTTCAGAGTTACAGCACTGGAATCCCAACTTTAGAGGTTCAAGTGACAGAAATAACTTGTTCTCCAGGGAAGTGCCTCTCAACAACTTGGGAGCTGGATTTGGCTCAATGTGGTTGATAGATGGTGGACAGAGGTACATTATTGATTGGTATTATACCTCGCATCCTCACAATACGAGTAGTGATTCAAGAGGCATTGAATCCAGGCCACCTCATAGTGATAATGAACGCCTTAAAGATCCTTGGATGCCATCTCATTTTGTGCAAATCAAGGATACAGTTAATGACAACTGGGGGCACCTATTTGAGGACCGAGCTCAAAGTCATCTCGAAGCTACCACATCTGCTCCTGTTTTAAGGGAGAGCATTCTACATCATGATGATTCAAGTAGCATGGCACAATCTATTAGGAGCCAGTGGTGGGATAGAACTCGACCACAAGTTGCAGATCCCCAGACAAGTTTTCTTGAACCTCCAAATTTCAATAGCAACCCTCATGATTATTATGATAATTTCTCTGACAGAAGTCAAGATGAGCACGAGCACGTTGACTTTAAGAATTCTAATAGGTTGGCCAATACCTTCTTCATGGATGATTCGGTTGGAGACTTCAACCTTCCTTTTGATGGTATTTATAGAAGGCCCTCGGAAAACCCCACAAGAAAGTTAGATCCTTCAGATCTTGTTTAATTTCATCTCTAAAGACACTAGGAATGTTATGAATTTCTGGGTCTCAAAAGTTGTCTTTTTCAAGAAAGTTGTTCATATTTACATTCTTTATTGTGCATAGTTGATTGTGAGGTTAGATTTCTGGAAAGGGCCTCAGGTTCGTTTGGAAAGTGATTGGATGTGAATGTCATCGTTGCTCCTTCTAAAAATGTAAAGCACCACCGGGCTGCTGACAATGGAAGACATTCTCTGTACATAATTCAATTTAGCAAGTATTTCTTTTCATGTGCCTTTTACCCTTTGGTTATTACTATTAGCAGTTGTTATTTCCTTAAATCACTGAAATTATTGACATCTCCTAATTCTAAAGTTCAGATTCCTCGCACATGGTGTTTGTGTTATATACCAAACTAATGGATGCATGAAATTTGTGTTTTATATACATTTTTATCACTTAACTAAATTTATTCGATATTTGTAAGCATTGTACATGAATAGAGCTCTTTCATCTTGACCTTTCTGAAGACGGAACTAGTGACCAGTGGCCAAAAAAAAAAAGAGAGAGGAGAGACGGACCCGTAATAATCCAACTAGTTAACTTATCACACAAACAGGCAAAAAAAAAAATAACAACAAATACAGTATGTTCCCACCAGGTGTAGTCTGGGTAGGGTAGTCTGTACGCACACCTTACCACTACCTAACGGTAGAGAGGCTATTTCCAATAGGCAAAAAAAAAAAAAAAAAAAAAAAAAAAAAAAAAAAAAATGTGCATTACCTTTTTACATAAATAGTTTTAACAATCACCAAAAAGGTGGCCAAGGAAAATCTGTTAATTAATATTAAAAATATGTTAAGAAACTAAGCTCAAAGTAACAATATAAAACAAGAAGATAAGTAATAGAATAAGAGAAGAAGAGATAACTTTCTTATCTCATCAAGTGTTCAAGTGTGTCCCATATCACAATTCATACCTATTTATACTATTACATAGAAGGTTACAAAAGGATTGTCTTAAATATGATATTAACAATGGAGATCATGGGGGATGATCATGGGGTGAGGTTATGGACGTGTGGGAGTTACAATCATAATAGTGAGTAGTGGGAGGTTATTTACATCACGGATAAAAGTAGTGGGAATATTGAACATCCACATCTACTAATAGTATTACAACACTTCCTTTAGACGTCCAAAGATAGATAATATGCCTCATTAAAGCCTTACTAAGAAATCTTAGTGAAGGAAAAGAGTACACATATCTGTAATACGCTTTAGTTGATGCCTCGCTAAAAACCTTACCAGAAAAATCTAGTGGGACAAAACCTAGGCTAAGGGAAAAAGAGTACATCGCATATCCTACTCCTCCACATGAAAACATCACTTTATTTCTAGAAGACGGTGCATCCCAATCTTCTGTCTCAACTTCTCAAATGTTGAGGTTGGTAATGCCTTAGTGAACAGATCATCCAAATTTTCACATGAACGAATATGTTGAACATTAGTTTCACCATTTTGTTGAAAATTATGTGTGAAAAAAAACTATGGTGAAATGTGCTTTGTTCTGTCTCCTTTGATGTATCCTCCTTTCAATTGAGCAATACAAACAACATTGTCTTCATATAGTGTATTTGGATTATCCTTCTCCATAGGAAAACCACAAATTTTTTGAATATGCTGAGTCATTGATCTCAACCAAACACATTCCCGACTAGCTTCATGAATGGCTATTATCTCAGCATGATTGAAGATGTGGCAGCTATTGTTTGTTTCAGTGAACGCCATGATATAGTTGTACCTCCATATGTAAACAAATAGCTCGTCTGAGATCGGGCTTTATGTGGATCAGACAAATAACCTACATCTGCATAGCCGATCATTTTTGACTTGAATTCACTAGAATAAAAAAATTCCATATCTATAGTTCGCCAACGATATCTAAATGTATGCTTAATATCATTTCAATGTCTTCTTGTTGGGGAGGAGCTGAATCTTGCTATTAAGCTTACTGCAAAAGCAATATCTAGTCGGGTATTATTGGCCAGATACATCAGTGCCCAATTGCATTAAGATATGGAGTTTCATCATCAACGAGCTCTTTATCATTTACTTGAGGTCGAAATGGATCTTTATTTAGGTCAAGTGATCTCACAACCATCGGATACTCAATGGATGTGCTATCCATATAAAATTGCTTTAAAATCTTTTCAATATATGTTGGTTGATGGACAAAAATTCCATTTGTTACATGCTCAATTTGTAGGCTAAGACAAAATTTTGTCTTACCAAGATCTTTCATTTCAAATTCTTTCTTCAAACACTCTACAACCTTTGAAAGCTCTTTACAAGTGCCAATGATATTCAAGTCATCAACATACACAACTATGATGACAAATTCAGATCCAGACCTCTTAATAAAAATATAGGGGCAAATAGAGTCATTTTTGTACCGTTCCTTTAGCAAATACTCGCTAATGCGATTGTACCACATTCGCCCTTATTGCTTCAATCCGTATAAGGATTTCTGAAACTTTATTGAACAAGTTTTCCTTAAACTTTTATGTGCTTCAGGAACTTTAAATCCTTCAGGAATTTTCATAAAAATTTTATTGTCCAATTAGCCATATAAGTAGGTTGTCACAACATCCATCAACCGCGTATCAAGCTTTTCATGAACTGCCAGATTTATTAGATACCTGAAGGTAACTGCATCTACCAAAGGAGAATATATCTCCATATAATCAATGTCAGGCCTTTGCAAAAACCCTTGTGCAACAAGTCGTGCTTTATATCTTACGACTTCACTTTTCTAATTTCATTTTCGCAAAAAAACTCATTTGTATCCTACTGGCGTGACACCTTCAGGCGTTCGCATTATTGGTCCAGTAATTTCACGTTTTTCAAGTGAAGCCAATTTCGCTTGAATTACATTTTTTCATTTTGGCCAATCATTTCTCTATGTACATTCTTCGATAAATTTTGGCTCAAGATCCTCATCATGTTGCATTACTTCAACTGCAACATTATATGCAAAACTATTGTCAATAACAATATTATTTCGGTTCCACCTTTTTCCCGTAGCGGCATAACTTATTGAGATCTCTTCATTTTCATTAATCCAGGTACATGAACCTCACGTGAGGTCTTATCAATTGTTATATCTTTATGCTCTTTTTGAGCAATTGCCTCCACATTATGGTTAATTTGATCATTTGCTCCTTTCTTTTTTCGAGGATTTTTATCCTTGAAACCGATTGGTCTAACACATTTAAGGCGTGGCCTAAACTCACTTGCATTATCATACTATCCAACTGGGACATCAACTCGAATTGGAGCTTTACAGCTGGAATATGTGATTTAGTAACCCGTGGAAGGTTAGTAAATGCATCTAGCAGTTAATTTGCAACATCTTGCATATAAATGATATTTTGAAATTCTTATTCACATTGATTCGTACGAGGATCTAAATGAGATAGAGATAATACATTCCAATCTATCTCTTTTTTCAGTTGTTTATTTTCTCCCGCTAATGTTGGGAATACTGGTTCATCAAAATGACAATCAACAAATCTGGTTGTATACAAATCTCCTGTTATAGGCTCCGGATATTTAATAATAGAAGGAAATTCATAACCAACATATACTCCCAACCTTCATTGGGAATCTATTTTTGTGTGTTGTGGTGGAGCAATTGGAACATATACCGCACATTCAAAAATTCTTAGATGGAAAATATTTGGCTCCTGACCAAAAGCCAACTGTAATGGGGAGACTTCATGATAACTGGTTGGCCTTATGCTCACAAGTGTTGCTGCATGCAAAATAGCATGTTCCCACACTGAAAGGGAAAGTTTTGTCCTCATTAGCAATGGTCTAGCTATTAATTGGAGGCGTTTAATCAACGATTCTGCTAGACCATTTTGAGTATGAACATGAGCAACCGGATGCTGAACTTTTATTCCTATGGCCATACAATAATGTCACGACCCAAGTTTTCTCTCCGTGAACTATCGTGAAGGCACCTAGTCTCTACGACTAGGTAAGCCTAACAATTTGCGGAAATGAAACAAAGATACGAAACTAACAATTAACAGGTAAATATAATAAAGGAGTTTAAAATGCTGCTCGACATATACAATAAAACACTCTCGAATTGAATATAAGCACTCCCAAAACCCGGAATCTCATGAATCACAAGCTACAGAAGTACATAGTGTTTCTAACTCCAGAAATCTATCAACGAAGGAAAATAAAGGAAGTTTATAACTGAAGGAGGAATAGAGAGGGACTTCAAGGTCTGCGGACGCGACAAATATACCTCGAAGTCTCTAAGATCGCCTCGCCTCACTGGAAGTATGGTTGAGAAGAGGTACCTGGATCTGCACACGAAAAACATGTGCAAGAAAGGGCGTGAGTACACCACAGCGGTACCCAGTAAGTGCCAAGCCTAACCTCGATCGAGTAGTGACGAGATCAGGTCAGGGCCCTACTGGTTTATACATATAATAAGATAAAACAGTATGAAATATCACAGTAGAGTTAAAAATGCTAACAGTCAATGAAAAATGAAATCACAGGAAGAAATAACTTCAGTACACAGAGATAGCAACAGGGGATCTCCCGGGATACCGCCCCGTAGTCCCAAACGTAAATGCACAGATGATCTCCCGGGATACTGACCCGTAGTCCAAATCATAAATGTGCAGGGGGATCTCCCGAAATACCGTTCCGTAGTCCCAAAATAAATATCCAGTACAGGGGGATCTCCCGGGATACCGTCCCGTAGTCCCAAACATAAACATACAAGGGGATCTCCCGGAATACCGTTTCGTAGTCCCAAAATAAATACACAACTCGTTCAATATACACAACAGTTACAGCTAGGAATAGTCTACAGTTCTAATCAAGTTCGTAGCAAAGAAGACAGGTAATTCTTACTCTAAACATGCTACACAGAATCCAGGTAAGCAGTTAAAGCAGATAAGGCAGCTAAGGCACGTAAGCATGCTTTCCTAAGCTAAACAGGAGGCTACATATACTAGTATTACTCAATTAAAGGAAAACATAGATATTTACTTAATGAAAATGGGGTTTTTCAACAATTAGCACATGTACGCACTCGTCACCTCACGTACATGACATTCATATAACAACAGTACCAAAATCCTAAGGGGAGTTCCCCCACACAAGGTTAGACAAGCCACTTACCTCGAACCAAGCTCAAAATCAATCCGAAATCACACTCTTGCCATGAGTATCCAACTTCGAGTGGCTCAAATCTAATCAAATCAATTACATAACGTAAATAAAGCTATAAGCAACTCATTTAGCTAATGAATTCAAAGCTAAGGCAAGAAAATTGGAAAACGCCCAAAAATCCTCCCCGGGCCCATATCTCGGAATCGGGTAAAAGTCACAAATTACGAACACCCATTCACTCACGGGTTCATTCGTACAAAAATCATCCCAAACCGACGTCAAATTCCTATTCAAACCTCAGATTTTCAATTGGGGAACTTTTTCCCCCATTTCCAAACTTCTACCCTCAAATTCCTTAATTAGATGAGGAAAACAACCATAGATTAATGTATAATGATCAAATTAGAGTTGGAATTCATTACCCAATAGTTCTCCTTCAAAAACCCTCGAGAAATCGCCTCCTACCGAGTTGCAAATCGATTTTTGTGTTATGAAATTTCAAACCCTCGAAGTCCTCTTTTCTGCCCAGCGATTTCCGCATCTGCGCTTATTGGGTTGCATCTGCGGTCCCGCACGTGTGGAAAAATCATCACAGGTGCGAGGGTCACTTATCCGGGTTGGGGCCGCATCTGCGATCACTAGGCCGCATCTACGGTCCCGCATCTGCGGTTCCCCAGCCGCATCTGCGGTTCCTGATGCCCAAGCTAAATTTTGCATCTGCGGCTTCCTAGCTGCTTATGCGGCTCCGCACCTGCGGTCCCACATCTGCAGGTGCGATTACATCAGGTGCAGTGATCAAGGCCAACCCTGCACTACTATTAAGTAGCGAGAGAGGTCGAAGCAGCTTTTACCCGATTTAGGGTCGGGATCGATTTTCACAGGGAGCTAGATATTGGAGTTGGGTGTCTATCTAAAGTGGAGTTGTGTATTTGCTCCAAATTGCACTTCTACACATTTTTCGTTTTAATTATGATTCTAATTTTATAAACTACAATACTCAATTAAACTACTATAAGCTAGGATTAAACTATTGCGAGTTGTTCAAATGATTAAAAGGCACTAGGGTAGTGACTTTCGCCTAGGTGGTCAATTGACGGATTCTTGAGTCTAAAGCTAGATTGACACATTTGGGGAGTATGATATAACCATTTCTCAATTCTACTCACTCTATACCTCTCGGTAGTTCGAGTGATTTGGCCTGAATTGGCTTTCTCAAGACCAATTGGGTATGCAAATTTGCACAAGCAATTAAGGTTCAAGTCGGGTATTATGATATCTCGGTTTAACCCTTTAATTGGGGCTATCAATTCTCTTGAGTACGCCCCAATTCCTTGTTGGACTAATTTTAGAGACTTAGCTCTCTTTCTCAAGAAGAGCAAAAGTCAACTAAATACAAACTAGTGTTTGCAACCACTAATTTAGCAATAAAACATGAAATTAGCCCAATTATCAAACACCCATAGTCAATCAAGCCCTAAAATACAAGACCCATCAATTACCCACACTAGGGTTGAGCCACAACCCTACTTGATTGGTCTAGCTACTCATAATTAAAGACAAAAACAAAGAAATAGATGAAGAAGAACTCATATTAATTAATTGCTAAATTAAACTTGGAGATTCAATGTTGAAATGAAGCTAAAATTACTCAAAACAGCTAAAATATTCGAACCCACGAGCGCAACTTTTAGTACTAACTATCTGCTTGACCTAATAATGGAAAAGAAGCTATTTATATTAAGCTGACAAATCTGGACAAAAATACCCCTGCGGGGTTAGTGCGGACCGCACAAAATCATGTGCAGCCGCACTAGGGCTCTGACTTGACAAAACTGCTCTCTGAACTTGGGCAATGCGGACCGCACAGAATCGAGTGCGGCCGTGGTGGCTTCTAGTGCGGTCCGCATGAAATGGAGTGCGGACCGCATTGGTCTTCAAACCTGGATTTGGCAACTCTCTGAATCTTCTCTCTGCGGACCGCACTAAATCGAGTGCGGCCGCATTGATCCTAGTGCGGACCGCACAAAACCTCGTGAGGCCGCATTGCCTTTTAGCCTGAATGTCAGCCTCTCTGAACCTCACTTGTGCGGACCGCACAGAATGGTGTGCGGCCGCACTGGCCCTGTATTGCCCGAGCTTTGTCTTTGTCTTGGTACTTGTGCAAGTTTGACTCCTTTTTGACCTGATCTTTGACACCATGTCACCTTGTTAATCAAACCTGCAATCAAGCACAACTTGTGAGCCTTTTGGGACTATTTTGTACACATTTCTAATCAAAACTTGAGCATGAAG